TTTTTTTTTTTTTTTTTTTTTTTTTTTTTGAATGTCCAGAGGACCAGATTTAACTTTTTTAGATCTGACAAAAATAAATCAATAAATGTGTGATTCAAAAAATCTTTTGCATTTAGGACAAAAAGATTGATTGGTTTGAAAAACAACGTGTGGCTTTTTAAAAAAAAAAGTTTTCATTGTACTTATTGGAAAAATAAAGTGTAATTCATCAGAGCAACATTTGTATTCAAAATATGACATTTAAAGTCTATATTAGATTGAACTTTTCTTAATACAACACAAATTTCAGGCAGCCAGCCGTCCAGGTGAGTGGCAGGACAGACACAAACTGGACATAAGTGGCACCAGGGGTTCCTGGGTAAATTTCAGCTTGAATGGACGGAGGTGAACAGGTAAATCCAGAGTAGGCTTAATCAGTCAGATAGTCAGAGTTTCTTTATATGTCATTCGTACCACATGTTGTAAATGTGGTAAAATGAAATTGTGTACACAGGGTCCCAGTTACATCCTGTGTATTTTGTAATTGTAATAATCAAGAACCAGAACTAAAACACAGAAAGTCTGGGTAGTCTTAATCTTAAAAATCCAAATACACAAGGGACTGTCACTGCAATGCCATTTGGTATCCAAACATTCCAGCAGTCATCTTCTTCTTTTTCTTCTTCTTCTTCCCACGGTGAGTCATTCTCCTCCATCTCACTCTGTATCATGTCCTCAATCAAACTACCTCCTTATCCTCTCTAATTCCATCCATATATCTTCTCTTTAGCATCACTATTCCACCTGTCTCCTCATTCACACTGTGTGAATGAGGAGACAGGTTCACTGTGTGGCACATCAACTTAATTCCCAATATCAAAGAATGGAATCTGTGTAAACTTAGCTTAAATAACAAGGTTATTCAAAGTATTATCTGCACCAGGTAAGAAATTAATTATCCATAACGATTCCACTGAAGCCTAATTTAAAGATATGAAAAATACATTAAAATTAAAAGAAGTTATTGTAAAAACATAATCTGTAATCATTCTTTTTTTTAGATTAGTTGTTACATCTAAAAAAAGCATGAGCATGCATCAGGAGGATATTAGTTGTTACAAATGACAAAAAACTTAGTGACAAAAATAGTTTGATTTCCTTAATAGTAGGGCTATTTATAAAATAATAATAATAATTTAACTGACCAAAACATAACTTGTGCAAACTGTATCTGTTTTCACAAAGAGTAGAAAACAATCTCTCTCACACAAACAACAATATTTAAAAGGTCAAAGGTATTTCTAGCTCAGATTAGGTATGAGGCAAGAATGAAGAAACACTGAGACTTTGTAGCACCAACGTTTTCTTCCTTTTGGTGGAATTAACGAAAAGCAGAGAAAACATGAGCACCGGATTAGAGTTGTAACATACTTTGTCGTATCCCACCCAGCTGCTCGGAAAAGCAAACAATACTGAAAAGAAATGTCTGTCCTGCTGCAACAATCTGTATTAAGATAAGCTACTTGAACACCATTGTCTCACACCTCTTTCATTCAGGGGAACAAGAAAAAAAGAATGTCTGATCTTATTTGGGGCTTTTTATTTATTATTTTCTAAGATTGCTTCTGGCATTATTTTATTAAAAAAACTAAAAACAAAAGGAAAAACCAAGATGTTTCTTTTTTCACCATTTTGAAATTTACAGTTTGTCATGTTCTGATATGTTTTCATTGATCATTAAATGCAATTATAATGATGACCAAATTACCGGTAATGCATAATGGTAATAAGAAGACACAGGAGTGACTCTTTAAAAAGCAGTAAAGAAAAAATTAGGACAGCTGCCAAAGAATAACCTTATTGCTTGATTTGAGTGTCAGACTGTTTATTGTACCCACTTCTTTATACAACACAAGTATTTATTTTTATTTATTTATTTTTATCATACTGTTCATTTTAACATGATTTAATAGTATAGTTATTTTCAATATAAAAGATACATTTGTGATAGAATGACACTCATAATACACCTACATTAATAAAACTGCATTCTGATGTCAGCAAATCTGCTCTGATTCACCAAAGTGATAGTTTGTCTCTTTTAAAGTGGGGTTGTGTAGAAAGGTTCTTGCATGTTGGAGATAGGTATTTAAACAACCTCAACCATTTTTTTTACCACACTGTTAAGGAAACAGATTGTGCTGGCAAAACTAAGACGAAAGTAGATTTTTGCCATCTTAAAACCCAATTCTTGAGCATTTTATGGCATTTCATGCAAATATTATGTTTATGGGAGTGGTGGCACAGAGGTTAGAGAAGGTGGGCCTGTGATCGGAAGATCGTCGGTTCTAGCCCTGGTACCGACAACATCAAAAATGTGGGTGGGGTAGGTGAAGCACCTACACCTGCCCCCACCTCATTCGCCCCACCCTGGGCCCTTGAGTAAGGCCCTTAACCACCACCATCTGCTCCTCCAGGTGTCCTAGACAGCAGCTCTGTGCTCCACACAGAGGGCTGTGGTAGCTCGGTGGTCTGTGGTCGTGTCAAGAAGGGCTTCTGGTGTAAAAAATAACTGCCAAGTCTTTGTGCGATTTAGTTCGCTGTGGTGACCCCTAATGCAGGGAGCATCCGAAAGAAGAAAGAAAAAAAGCAAATATTATGTTCTGGACCATTACACTGACATTAGTTAGGATTGCATGGTTATTCTGTCAGAATTATTCAAACATTACTACTGGAAGTATCTCAGATTGCACCTGAAGTGCTTCAGTTACCTGCTGCTACCGTTAGTTGGACATACAAATAATCATCAAAAGATGATTAATAAAATATTGTTTACATGACCCCCCCCCCCCCCCCCCACACACACACACACACAAAGAAAAATATAGAATGGAGTTCTAAAAAAGTTAAATCTGGTCCTTTGGACGTTAAAAAAAAAAAAAAGCAAAACAAAAAACTTGACTCCCTCCACCCCCTGGCTGCACCAAGAAATTCTGTCCATGAAAGTAATGAATAGAATATGTGACAACAGGCAGCCCTGGCAGAGTACACCCTGAAAGGTTCTGACTTACTGTGAGCATTGCAAACCAAACTTTCACCATACTTGTATAGGGACCAAACGAGCAACGAGCCCCCAATCTCATACTCCCAGAGGCTCCTAAGTCTACAAAACACATGTAGACTGGATTGGCAAACTCCAAGGACCTTAGTGAGGGTAAAGAGCTGGGCCAGTGTTCCAAGGCCAGGACAGAACTTGCATTGTTCTTCCTGGATTTGAGGTTCGACCAACAACCAGATTCACTTCTCCAGAAGTGAATCTACCCCTGAATAGAATTAGTGAATAGTGAAATAAAAATGAAATGTGAAATAAAAATGAAAAAGAGAAATAGGAAATAGTGAATTCTACCCCTGAATAGACTTTAACTGGGAGCT